ATATATAATATCGATTTCCTCTTCAGCACTATTGTATTATTCTTACAACTGTACTCTGGAAAATAATCTTAGTAACTTCTTAGTTTATTTAACGACCATCTTTGTATCTTTTCATAAGTTTCCTGTCTGTTATCTCTCTCCTTCTCCAAACCCCAGCAAGAAAATGTAACCCTTCTAATACCACACCAGAATGTCAATGCTCAGATGTCCAAGCATGATGTTTTCTGCACGTTTTCCTCTTTGCCTTCTTTCCGTCTTTCTTTATTAGTCTTTATTTGATCAAAGGTCAGCTGTACCAGAGCCCAATATTATACCATCTTATCTAATGATGGTGTGCCCTAGCCCTGAGGCTGTCTCAGACCAATTGGTGGGATTATTGAGCACTTTTTGGAATGAAGGGTTTAACTTGATCCAGATCCAAACTTCTGTATTTTTATCCTCTTTCTTTTCTTCTTTCACTTTTCTAAGAATAAGATCAGAGACCTCTGCCATTCAGTTGACCTCTAAATATAATAACATCAAAGAAAAATGCAAATAAGTATTCAGCTGAAATACAACTAGAAAAGTACAGTACAAAAGTACTACCGGTACATTGAAAAACTTGGCAATGGTAACATGGTGTGATCTCATTTATAAAACAAAATAATCAACAGAATTTTATTCAAAATAAAACAGAAGAAAAAAAGTATAAGAGTGCTCAGCAGTGATAAAAAGGGTTGAAAAGGAGCTCTAAAGGAAAGCCCTGTAAGACTTGTAAGAATATACCGACTACACTGACAGCTTTAGAGTTAAAGTTAATAAAGAGGTGTTTGTACAAAGAGGGGGAAAAAACTTTTCACATAAAATGTGAAGGGTGTTGACATAAAACTAAGTATACGTACGTATATATTCAAATAAATCATTACAACAATCAATTCGAAAAACTACTACAGGAGTGCTAATATTTACCAGAACCAAACTTGTTTGAATGCATGTAGCTTTTGATGGATGTGAATATTTAAATCTTCACATTCAGAAACGCCTGCCTAGAACAGGTCTTTACTTTTTGTTCTAGATTTTTGCTTTAATAATAAAAAGAATTTTTAATGCGTCTATGTTTTTCTTTTTACAATATAATACCAATCATCTTTCCAATTGTGAAATTATGCCCTTGTTCTCATAATAACAGCGTATTGTAAGTTGTAGTACCAGTATGCAAAGTTTGACAATTGCACATCAAGAGTGTATTGAAGGAACAAAGTGTGCATTATAGCAAACAAAAAATATCGTTACAAATAATATCAGCAGTGAAAAGAAGCAGTAATCTGTAAAGTGCAATTTAAAATGATATTTCATTAGCAAAATTCTCCCCCCAAAACGGACCAAAATAAATCAACCCCTAACAATCAATCAATAAATATTGTACAGCAATGGTTGAATCAGAAAAGATTACCATGTATAAAATTAAAGTGATTTTTCCAAATGTAGTAAAGAAGAAAAAAATCTTTTGTGGCCTGAGATTATATGTATTGAGAAGAAACAAACATTGAAATCAAGTAAGAACTTTTCTAGACACAACTTTAACTTCAACAGCAGCGGTGACATGTTAATACTTTTATGATATCTGATCGTCACAAATATTCCTTTTTGGCAACATAGAACATAATGAACTTGCTTTGTTGCTCAATTGCATCATTCACTGGAAAATAGTAACCCATGTTTCATGGCGACTCAGAGATAGTGACAAGTCAGAAAAAGCAGTAAAAAAAGTGAAAGTAAAGTAAAAGAATGTATCCCCTTTTTTTTTCTCCTATTTAAGAATAAGCATTGTGGTTATACATTATATGATTTTGGAGCAATTTCTAAAGATTAAATGAATAATGAGTAATATTTGGAGCAGACACTGTCTGTGGTCGGCACAAATATACCATACGTGTCTGTCTCTACACATACATTAAAGTGTGATGTAATCTCTTCGACCAATCCCTGACAAGCCATTCCTTCTGGTCACTATGGAATATGCTATCCTGAACCACACAACCAAGTTAAAAACTTTCTACAACAATCTTTAATTAATATTTCAATGTTTAATTTTCTTCAACAAAGCAGTGTTTGTTTTTTTAAGTGTTAGTATGGTGATCACACACAAAAAATGAGGAAAATATCAAAATTTTGACAAGAGAACCCAACCATTTGCTCCCTGTCTCTCCCCCCCCCCCCCCCCCCCCCCCGGGATTGGCATAAGACATAAAAAAAGAGAGCTTTGTGAATTTAGCGCAGAACAAGCATAACAGTTACACTACGCTATAGTCTATGGTGTTTTTCATCATTTTCAGTTCTTGCCAACAATGGCCTGCAGGAGATGCTTGAAGTTAAAGCTGCAATCTTCCTTGAGCCATCGCCACAGGGTCTTTTTGGTCAGCTTGAGGAAACACTCTTTGATCTGAACCATGTCGATCTGAAACATCAAACACAAACATTTTGTTTACGTGACAAACCCATAAAAATTTAGGGTGGGGGCTACAGATTTTGTATCAAAGATTTCGTCACCTCAGAACTATTTTGTCCAAAGTGCCTCTTTACTTGAAGTACACTTTGGACAAAATAGTTCTGAGGCGACGAATTGTAGGCCTACGTGTACATCCACCACAAGATTTTCCGCAGCCATTTCAGAATATTACAGGCCCTACTTTCAGTTTTGACACAGGTACATTTTTGCTGAACTGAAACAAATGAAGCAAAAAAAAATGTTGATAAATGATGCTTATTGCTTGTTTCATTTATGAACTAAAATGAAACGTTATACAGTCAGATGCTGTCGAACTTGTCCAGGATGACCTCCCATTGTTGAGAAAAAAATCATATTAAATAAGTGGTACTCTTGGACAGTGCCATTATAGTATAGAAAAATGCAAGGTAGGTGTGTGTTGGGGGCGAGGGGGGGGGGGTAGGAAGTGGTGGTTTGTTCAGGTAATTCTCTTGGACTGGGGGTCGTTAGAGCAAGTTCGACTATATCTGACCAAAGCAGAACCAGTTCTATTGTTATTCAGGATCTCGGTCTTACAGTGCTCCCACTATCAGTCAGAGACTACTTGTGGGTCAGGTGTACCCCAAAAAAACACCAGTCATATTTATTTAAGGAGATGTTTTCTTCCCAAGCTACCCCACACATCTAATTGCCTCTACTCCTCAAGACAACAATTAGAACAAACATGCAACTATTACCGAATGGCATCATGCAGAAGAGTTAACGCTCAGATGCTACTGGATCGCTAACAACAACAACAACATCAAACATTAGATAGGGGATGTACCCTCCTGAACAGGGAAAAAGCAGCAGCTAGAACAGTAGTGAGCTATTTTTTAAATATTAATATCGGTCTGAAAGGGCAAAGGAGTTTCTCATAAAAATATTTGAAGACTTGAGAACAATAACAAGGTTAAGTCACATTTTCCTAAAAATAGAGTTCTGCATATCATTCGAAAGCGGCGACAAAAGGCTATAATCTATTAGTAGCACAGACAAAGCACTATACTGTTCCTATGCCCAGTAATTCTTATTCAAAGATGTGAATCCTAAATGAAACAACAAGGTTAAATCCAATTTTAAAATCTATTAACGAGCACTCAAACCGGAACTTACTTGAATGTATTTCAAGAATAAGGTTTGGGAGTGCTTATTTAGGCCACATATGGCCTAAATAAGGTAAGGGAGGGGGGTTTAGCTTATTTAGGCCACAGTGGACTGTGGCCTAAATAAGGTAAGGGAGGGGGGTTTAGCTTATTTAGGCCACACATACTCAAACTACCTTTTTCAGGCAACTGAGTTCGTTCCACTTTCATAATGGTGCACCTTTCTCATTTAGTACAGTTTTGCCTCAGTGTACAACTTGTAAATCATAACCATAATGAATATTGTAAAGAACAAAGCACAATACGCAAAATTTTGCTCACTCCTAATGGTTTGAATGAGGGCCAGATTTTTCCTTCTTGGAGGGGCAAAAGCTAGGCTACCATTTTGGCACACTTTGGTCAAGTGAAAAGGTCAAATCCTCTGAATGGACTTCCGGGTTAAATTTGGGGTATAAAAAGAGTGTACACAACGTGGCTGAGTCAAAGTTACACTATCTTTGCCTGGGTGGCACTCTCTCGTACATGTAGGCTAGTAGGCCTAGTAGTAGTAGTAGCAAAGATCGTGTAGAGAATATTTGGTAGTAGATTCTATCTATAGGCAGTTTAGTGAACGTGCTCGCAGCAGGGCAAATCGGCCTCGATAAGCCCCGTAGACTTGTGATCGGCCACGAAGCCTCGTGTTTTGATGGGTCTAGATCTAGATCTAAACAACTCAGTGTTAATCACACTGCCACATCCGACAGGCCTAGATCTACATCTTTTTAAAAGGAAAACAAAGATCATCAAAATGGTTGAATTCGCCTGAAAATCGATTCGGTAGAACTAGAACTATTAAAATTTGCTTCTGAAAACAAGGCAATTTTTATACGAAGGCCATTTTTATAACTCGATGAAATAAAAACTACTGGCTGTGTACTGTGTTATTCTGTATAAAAATAAATTATGAAACTTCAGGACGTATTATTATTTTCCAGCATCTTTTGACGCCTGAGCTGTAGAGGTTGAAGTTTTCACAACACTAATAGATCTAGTAATAGGCCAGGTAATAGGGCTTTCCGTAAAAAATGCATAGATCTACGAAAGCCGAACCACCGAATCGACCGGGCACCTCGCTCTCCCCTGCACACTGTGATAACGTGTTGCTTCGGTATCGCATTATTCAACTATTAATACGTGCGGCTATGGCAATTGGGATGTAGCCTACTGACTGACAAAAAATTCAGTTTTGTTTTTATTTTACCATATATTTGACTTTAATAGCGCAGGCGATAGCAAGATCTAGATTCCCTGTCTAGAATCAGTAGTAGCAGGCCTATGCTAGAAGTAGCCAGAGAGCCTACAACTGCTAGATCTAGATCTAACTTATTATTGCTATGCCGTTGGGCTTTGGAATTGAAATAAAACGAATTGCACAGTTCTAGTTACTTTTAGATTCAGCAAGTAACTGTATTTCCAGAGTCAATAATAACAAATCTCAGCATAACAATCACTTTTACTTGTATTAGAATAATTAGATCCAACTTTTTTTTCCTAAAATCTGTTTTGCGCAAACTTAATATTTTCTCTACTTGTAGAGCACAGAATTTACATTGTAAGCCTCTGCTCAGTCTTTTAGTATACATAATAAAATACACACACACACACACATATATATATATATATATATATATATATATATATAGAGAGAGAGAGAGAGAGAGAGAGAGAGAGAGAGAGAGAGAGAGAGAGAGAGAGAGAGAGAGAGAGAGAGAGAGAGAGAGAGAGAGAGAGAGAGAGAGAGAGAGAGAGATCTATATAATCATTTTATCTTGTTTTCGGGATATTTTTCAAACTCTTTTTTTTCAACATGTCATAAAATCAAATTGTGCCATTTTCTTTGAAAAGAATAGCATTAGCAGTGGACTTTTTAGACAGCGAGTCTCTGATTCAATATTTTTTTTTTTTAATGCTAATCAATGAAAATTTCAAATTGATAATAGTTTAGTCCTGAAGAGGATAGGTGGACTCCGGGGTCTGCAGAGCAAAATACTAGGTTTTAGGATGTGAACCGCGGAGTCATCGTAGTGAAATAAGGTTTGGTTTAAGTAAGGATTGGTGGACCCCGGGGTCAACGTAGTGATAAATAAGCAGGTTTAAGGTGGACCCCGGGGTCTACCTAGCGAAATACTAGGTTTTAGGACAGGTCGACCCCGGGGTCACTGTAGTGAAATAAGTATGTTTCTTTAAAGATTGGTGGACCCCGGGGTCAGCGTAGTGAAATAAGTAGGGTTAATTTTAAAAGGATTGGTGGACCCCGGAGTCACCATAGCGGTAGAGGAATAAGAAGGTTTAATTAAGGATTGGTGGACCCCCGGGGCACCTAGATTAAACCTACTTATTTTACTACGGTGACCGCAGGTTCCACCTATTCTAAAAACCTAACTAGCATTTCGTTAGGTAGACCCTGGGGTCCACCTTAAACCTACCTATTTCACTACGTTGACTCCAGGGTCCCCCAATCCTTAAAATAAAACCTAGATCTACATGTAGGCTACTTATTTCACTACATTGACCCCAGGGTCCACCAATCCTTAATTAAACCTAGATCTACTGATTTCACTACGTTGACCCCGGGGTCCACCAATCCTTAATTAAACCTATATCTACTTATAATTTCACTACGTTGACCACGGGCTCCGCCAGTCCTACTATAAAATAAACTGAGATCTACTTATTTCACTATGTTGACCCGGGGGTCCACTGATCCTTAGTTAAACCTAGATCTACTTATTTGACTACGCTGACTCTAGGGTTCACATCCTAAATCCTAGCATTTTGTTAGGTAGACCCCGGGGTCCACCTATCCTTTTGGCTAGATAGACCCCGTAGTCCGCCTATCCACTTTCTTGATAATAACTGAAAACAATACATGCCAGTTGTCATGAATAGTGAAGAAAAATGATGGGAAAAAAAGACAATGAGGTAGACTATAATTTATCAAAAAAATTGCAAGTGCAAGTGAAGATCATAAAATAATTTTGTTATTTTCTGGTCATCTTTCCCGGTTAATAAAAAAAATTCAGTGGGCCAACTACTAGATCTATGTCTCTGAAGAACATTTTGCTTGCCTTTATTAGCTTTTTTCATGTACATGAAAGCATAGAATATATAGTTTCACACAAATATATGCACAATACTTTGAAAAAGAAAGGTAAGGTCATTGGGGGTTTTTTCGGAATCCGTTTTACATTGAGAAAAGCGCTAAAAACAAGTTAAAAAATTTTAAGAATGCCCATAATAATATTAGTATTAGGAATCCGAAATTACTACCTAGTTGGCCTACTCTTTAATAACCATGAGCAGTTAAGAAAAAAAAAAAGACAATGATATAGGATTTGTCTACATATGACCATTAGCAATAAAGATTTTGCCCATTTTGTCCAATTATCCTTGCAGGTAAAATCACCCTGCACTGTACCTCAATAAGCACAAAAGGAATATTTCTGTGACTTTGTATAAAGGTGTGGCCTAAAGAAGGTAAGGGAGGGGGGTTTAGCTTATTTAGGCCATATGTGGCCTAAATAAGGTCACCCATAAGGTTTTTGCTCATTTTCCCAAAATCATCTAAATGTGACTTGGCCATGGTGTTGTTCTCAGGTCTTCATTTATAATAAGGGAAAAACAAAAGCACTTACCTCAGATCGGGAGACTATGATTCGTATAAGTGTTCTCTCATCAGTTCCAAGTCCCTTCATCGAGTCCCGAAGTTTTTCAGCGAAGAACATCGGGCGACTACGGATGTTCATGACTGATGAAGAAACATTAAACAAGTTATCAGAATAACAAAGTGTAAGAATGCTTTTGAGATTCATAACCCAATTCATAACTCTCAGTACAAATGTCATAGTGGTCTCATGAAACAAACAAAACCACTCTCCAGCTAAAACGCGGGCTGAGGTAAATGTTTGAGCCTATGCGATTAAACAAAATGGGAGAATCGTTATTTACAACTGCTACAAGTAAAGTACTAGTCCCAATAAGATTTTAAGAAGCATTTTTGTTAATTCGGTGTGAGTGGCATGAGGCTCCAGGTAAGCACTTTGGTAATGGATATATATACAGTGGAAACCTGATATAACAGGGATGGTGGGAGTAGAGAAAATGTCCTGTTATATCCAATCCCTGTTAAATCAGAAATGCTAGGAAAGTAAGCATTTGTGGACTAATCCAGCTGTACTTTTTCAGGGTAGTTACCCTTGCCACAAGTACCCACGAACAGGGGTTTTGGCACCAACTTTCTCCTTGCCTCCACCACATCAGAAGAGCTTGGTCCACAGCATCTGCATCGCGCAGTCTCATCTTCTTTCGATCCAGAACAAACTTCCCAGTGGAGTATGCTGCCACTATCTTCTCTCTACCCTTGATAATGGTGTGAATCGACCCTTGTGGAATGTCGAACTGACAACAAATCTCTGCCTGTGGAGCTTGCTTTATGTCAACAGCCTGGATTATTTCGGGGGGGTTTTTGTCAATTGAAAGGCATTTTCTCTTGCGCTTGACATCGTTGGTGACACATTACGCGTGCGTGTTGCTAGGTTTCAGGCTAGATCGAGGTCTGCAGCACACCGCAACACTCTCTCGCTTCACACGCTGCAAGTGCTCGCAGTGGCGTGGCTTGCGTGGGCTTGCTCCATCACTGCGTTACTCTCTCTCTCTCTCTCTCTTTTACTTTTTACACATTGTTAACGAGCCTTTGTCCCTGCTATAACCGGTTGGACTCCAATGAGGCCCTGTCATTGCCGATAACTTTTAATAGAGACAAAGAGTAGGAAAAACGGGAATTTTAAAAATCCCTGTTATTACCGGATCCCTGTTATTACCGGGCCTGTTATATATGGTTTCCACTGTATATAGGTACCAGAAACTAAATTTTCAAAGTAGCTGTATGCCAAATTTATCTGTTCCATTTGAAAGGCCTATATCCACTGAGCATTTTGGTACCATTCTTTAAGCTCTCAGTCAATTTTTAAGAAACTGGTAGTTGTTTAAAATTTGATCAAATTTGTTAAAGTCAGTCACTGGCTGCAAGCCCATGTTTGACAGACAATAAAAGAGTACCAAGAGCACTAAACATCTCCACATTAACAGAGTACAATCACTATAACAAATATATGGAGCCTAATTTTTCTTCAGACTGTGAGATCATTACAAATCAATATTTTATTGCCTCAAACACGATGATCTGTCATTATTTCGACAAAAACACCGAGCGTTGTCCCGGGCGGCGCCGTACCGGCCCCCGCGGCGAGCGAGTCGGCTCTATACTGTAGTGTACCCTGCGTGCGGGGTAACATGCTTTCGGAGTCTCGCAGAAGGATTGATGAAAAATAATTTCAAGTTGATTACTTTATTCTAATAGAAAATAAGCTGATCTTTTAATCAATACTTTTTTCAAGCCGGTATTTTACATATTTTGTGTAAAAAGTGATCTTTAAACATTTTGACGGTATTTTTAAAAGCTTTCTATTTAGACGCCAAAGGCCAAATATACACCACGGGAAAGCCCGTTTAAAGCTCTACAGTTCTCCGCCAATGAAAAGACGATATTTAATCATCCCTCGTTCTGCGAAGCATTTGAATGCACGCGTGTCAATTTTTCAGCCGGCCGACCATGCATTCCGACCACGAGGGGCCTTGCTTTTGTCAGCGATTCTCCAGCTCCTAATAATCGGACATAAAAACAACTTACACCATTGTAACGAGGAAAAGCTGAACTTTTACAAGGTGTACAGCATGTGGTGTTTTATAGCGAAAGAGCAAAGAAACAGTGATCGGAATTACCCCGATTTCACCGATACCACGCGGTCGGAAGGCCCCGAGTGCCTGCGAGTGCCCGCGAGGCCGTGTTTACGCTACCTAATATATACCAAGATTTCACCATATATTCTGAGATATGTGTAAAATCATCACCTTTTATCAAAAGAAGTTTATCATTTACCTAAAGCTCTGAGGCCAGTACGGAAATTCCCCGAAGTCTCCCTGTCCACACTGTTCAGAATGTCTCTTTGGGTGATCTGCAGGAAAAAATACAAAAAGACAAAGTTCAGACTGCTACTTACATTAACACAAAAACCAGAAACAAATAAGATTTCTTAATACTTATCACAGTTTAGCTGTTGTTTCAGATAAATCAAAATTGTCATTTACATAAAAATAAGGGAATTCACTGTACAACAAGTGTTTTCTCATTTTTTCTACTTCCACATACCCTTCTCCTCTTTTCTCCTTCTCTTATCTGTTCTTTGATTTCATATCAAAACGATGACACTTCATTACTCATACTCACCTTGACGTACTCATCCCAAGTTGCCCTCAGCTGATAGTAGTCTCGTGTGGAGAAGATGCGGTTAAACGTTTCCTCGTCAGTTCCCCAGCGTTTCTCACCAGCCTTGTATAGTTGTTGTGCCTCCTGCCGAGCCTTCTCCATGTCACACAGTTTTGTGGAATTCACTTCAAACATGCCTGTGGGTTTTCAAGATAGAGTTCAAATTAGTATCATTGAATAGCTACTCAAAAGACAAGAAAGTATTCTCTAAAATGGTAATCCTTTGATGCACATATGAAAAGATTTTCAGACATTTTGTCAAACCCACCATGGATCCAATGTCTGGAAAAGTACCCACTGTTTTATATACTTTACTTTACTTTTACTTTTATCCGCCGCTTATACCCTTTTGGGTGTCGCGGGAAGAAAGAGACGTCTCTCTGTCACCAGCCGGAGAGCTTGGGTCAGGGGGATGCCGTGGGTGGTTAATGTTTCCCTGACTCCATCTATCCAGGTCTTTCTCGGTCACCCTCTAGCCTTGTTGCCATCGAATTTTTGGAGGTAGACACGTTGTGCTGGATGGTGTGTTGGTAATCGTAGGAGATGTCCGAACCATTTGATTCTTTCGTGTTGGATATGATGCTTGACATTTGTGCCTACCATTTCTCGGATTACAGAGTTTCTAAGTGTTTTATATAGATCACAGAAATTTTAATTTAGTAACTGGCTAATTCTGAATAGTGATAACTTTTAAGGCATCAAAATTTGGGGTCAGTACACTTATAAGTGTAGAAATACCCAACCACAGGCTGGAAATGAAACACTTGCCAGCTTTACTGAAACAAGATACCAATACTTTCATACTAACAACAGTTTGACTCATCAACACATCATCATTCAGGCAGGAGTTCGGAGAAACCCCTGATAGGTAATATTTTTTGCCTCTGACACCAGGCAACTCCCACCTCCTTTATTCGCAAATATCTAGACTTCTTTTCAAGATAGACGAGTATTTTTTTCACCAAAGGCAAACCAAATGAGCAGACTTTAAGATAAGATTATACAAATGTCTCAATATGCCCAAAAATTGACGAGTGCCTGATTCTTGTACCTTGCTGTGACACAATTGTATACGCACCAGTGAACTCCCCGTCCTGTGGGTTGACCATTTCTTCCACAGCTTGTTCCAGTCTCTGCTGGGAAATCTCGTACCTTCGACCCTAGAACCAAAACATTGAGCAAAGTTTTTAAAGCATTCTCTTCCCAACACAGAGAGTGAGAGCACAAAAAAACAAGGACCTTATGATGTGCTGAGCGCATTTGGCACCATGAAGTTTCTTTTATCTTAAAAATAAAATCACTATAAAGCTTTATCTGAAAAAGAGTATCACTATAAAGCTTTACCTGAAAAAGAAAATCACTATTTATTATAAAGCTTTTTTTTAAAAGCATGAATTCCTTACTGAAAAAAATGCCTACATCCTGTGTGAAGCAGTAAAGGAAATTCTCCAGGAGAAAATGAAACTTTAACAGATTTACATACATATTATAAAGAAAGTCTCGTTTCCTCTCTCAAGCTTTTGCCACTTGCTGCTTATAAGTTATAAGACAAGATTAAGAACAATAGATGTCGGTAATGCTCTATCAAATATGAATGATAAAGAAGCAGGAGAGTAATACATGTACTTTTCCGTGGTAATCAATGTTAATGTTGATTGAGATCCACAAAATTAAAACTTTAAAGAGAAAAATTAAATCACAAGCATTCATAACTCGATTAACTAAGATCAACTGTCTTTAGATAACAGTGTAAAAACAGGTACAGGTATTCTAATTTCAATTCAATAAATCTAAAGCTGGTAATATTCAAAGTAAAACAGCTAGGACCAACAAGTATTCCAAAATGTCAAGTGAAAAATAGCTGGGATTCAGTAAATTAAAATATATGTTGAAAAAGGAAATACATTGTGTATAAGTATGAGAGACATTTAAACAAATGATAGCATGTATGTATATGACTTTAACAAAGAAAAGTTTGTTCCCTCAATAGGTATTTACATCAATAAGAAAGATTTGAAAAGTACAGTTTTTTGTCAGTCAACATTGGTATCTTATGAATGGAATGCAAAGAAAATTTGACAAATATAAAATCAGTCCCAATAGTAGGACAGCAATAAAATTTATATTTCAAGAGCTATGGATAACGTAATATTCAAATGGTGAATGTATTTAGATGCCCTTGGCGTCGGTTTTATACTCTTTTCAAAACAATAAAGTCCTTAAAAAAGGAGCTGCTGACATGGCATCACTCCGGATAGGACCATCCCAAGAGGGTGGAAGTACAGAAAAACTCCTCAAGCAAACCCAAGTCTGAGAATGTTCTATTATGGATTCAAACCAGAGACACTTACACTGGAGTCCACCAGTACACCAACAAACCACATACTGAATGTCTGGAATGTGCTCTAGCTCCATTTTAAAAACTTTTTAAAATCGAAAAATACTGACTGTGGATGCTGACAGTAGCAGGCGCTTGAAGTCTCCACTGGTGTCATCTTTGATGTCCTTTTCAAACTGCGTGCTCTTGGCTGTGCGCTTCTTATGTACAACTGGAAATAAGACAGTTTACGCAGGTCAATTCACACAATAACGATATCTTACTTCTGTTCATGCGTTCTGCGTCAATACTCCACAGATAGTTGTCCAATGGACCTTAATCCCACAGCGTATGATTCATATTTGTATGACCTATTTTCAACTTGAACATGTAAAGTTTATCACCTTTCAGGATTCCATATATTATGATATATCTTTATCAAGGGTAGTCTTAACTGTTACACTTGTATTTGTGATTTACCAGTTAGGTGCTTTGCTGTTGCACGTAGAAGACACGACTTCAATTCCCATGTTGGAAGGCTTTTTAAAATTGAGATCGGCATTCTGCTGCGACATGGTGTCCCTCTTAGCTGTGGTTGGTCCTGACAGGTAGGGTCAAAGCAGCCTGCCTCTCAACAGATCTAAATGATGTCGATGTGGGTGTAAAATGTCTACTATTATATATTTTTAAGATTATACTGATGACAGAAGATAGATGATTAGGATACCATGTTGAGTGGAATGGCTAGAAAAATTACTGGAAAATTTTTCTGAGTTTTACATAAGTCTAACAGCAGTGCCTAAAAAAGTAGAAGAAAAGAAAGTGTTCAAATTGACTTTGTCACACATAAATGTACTTACTAGATTCAAAATACTCTACCTCTCCTCATCCTGTCACTATACCAAGGGCTTATATCACATGCATGCAAATTGTAATTGACAAATACAATTTGTGAACCCCCTGAGATGCTTTCTCTTTCTGAGAATTGCATCCCTTCAAGACATGGCTTGAAAATAAAAAAGCAACAAGTTTCCACTGCTGAGAACAATTATGTTGGTTAACATATGCTTTCCCTACTCTGTAGGCCTACCAGATAGACATCATTCCCTCACCAATCAGCCTTCTCAAAATAAATACAGATCTTCAAGGTTTCTATCTATCAGTGGATGTACCATTAGCTCAGTCAGTATCATACACAGCTGTGTATTGAGATGACACTGTTGGCATTCTTTAAAAAAACCATAGTGAGCTTGGATTCTTTTCTTTGAGAACTCCTCATTAACTTGAAGACAGGCATCAATTCGGAAGTCCCACTCCTTTTATAAGTTTTATAACTTATTTGTGTTGAAAGTGGCATAAAATAAACAACAGAATATCATATTATTTACTGAAGGCACGGCTGCTACTATAGAAACGATGCAGTATACCTCACTTACCATTGGGGTAAGCAGTTTTGATTTCTTTGATCTGCTCATTGGTTCGAGTCATCAAGATCTCCACCAAGGCCTGCTCATCTGTGCCCAGGCCCTAGAGAAAGAAAAGTTTGTGAGGGGGCAGAGGAACTGTTCATAATAACAGAATGTCAGCAACCATTCAGGAAAGAGTTCCTTGAAATGATACTGATTATGCACAACTCAGTTCAACTGCTGTTTCCTTTTTCCTGCACAAATCATATGAAGCTACAACTTTAAAGCTCTAAGGTCACAAAGTGTATATAATTCTGTAGCACAAATAAAAGTTGTTTTTTCATCTTGACCAGACTGCACACATCTGAAAAAAAATTCCACCTCTGTGGTGACCTCTCGCACCCAAATGCTCTGTGAGACGTTCTTCTTCACTGTCGCAGTTTTGGACATTTTTCCTTTTCGGACTGTGTACTTTCTGCGAAAAATGGAAAAGAGGCAGCCTTGTTGAGTCCTGATTAGAGAGCAGGCTAAAACCTTGCAGTTACAGCTCCAATCCACTACACTGAAGTACGAGTGTGTAGTCTGTGTTTAAGGGAACTGATTTGTCAAGAGTAAGTCGGAACCGTAACTGTTGTAACTGACGTGTTGTCTTGTATGCTTTTAATGCAACACCTCTATAGAAAAAAAATGTTTCAACAATCGTTAGACAATTAAGTAAGGTATAATTTGTTAAATGAACAGAGAACTGAGTATGAACCTTAAAATACTTTTCCCTCCATCTGCGGTCATGTCATATACATCACACTAAGAAATACTACAGCAATTATATCCCAGTTAGGAACATTTACTTTTGTTCTATCAATACACTTCATGACAAAAAAAATAGAAGTTTGTTTAAAGTCATAAAGGGCCACACATAAAATTTTGTAAAACCAGAACTACAACAATCATTCCTAGGACGCAAAAAACACTCATTCCCCTAAAGAAAGAACCAACCAATTATCCAAAGCCAGAGACACTTGCTAAAACTAAAAAGCCAGAGAGAGATAGAAGATACTCACATAGATGGCCTCCTTGATGCACCACGCGTCATACTCTGCAGGGGGCACAAACAAAGCCATCACAAGCTCCTTGTAGTCTCCACTGAGCTCCGATTTCAGATCAGTTATCAGGTCCTGAAGGATAAATGAGTTATTTCCTTAGTGTTGTCTGCAAATTGTCCAAGTCCAAAATTTCCCATTTTAAAAAAGTTCCAAAATCTATCCTCGAAAGATAAAGAAAAAAGTAGAAGAAGATTTACTCTAGCAGTCGAGAAAAGCACCTATAAAGTACTCCTATTCTATTTGCACTGTGCATAGAGAGACAGAGCAGGCAGTTTTGTCAATATGCTCTAAAATAATTTCTCTAAACCTGACCACACTTCAATCAAAACCATTAAATTTTGGAAGAGCTCTAGAACAATAAACATGCTGCAAATGTTAAAAAAGATTAATACACATTCTAGTAAGCACTCTAAGACATTTTTTTCTTTTTTTCTTCTTTACATTTGATAAAGTATAATTAACACTCTTTTTTATATAAAAAAACAGGATGTTTTGAAGAAGAAGAGGAAAATGAAAGAGAAAGACATGCAGAGGGAGGTGAAGGACAATGACAAGAAGAAGAAGAGGTATCCTACTTCCCATTCGGCAATGACAGAGATTTATCTTAAAATAGAATGCCTGTGTAGATGAGTATGGGCCCTGTATCAGTTAATCTGAATAAAAGTCCTAAAAGAAAACCAATCCCAGAGCATGTCACAGAGCTTCTGTCAGAGGGAAACAGCTCAAAAGTAGAATCATTCATCATGTGCGAGTACACAACTTGTAACATTCTCAAAGTACTTACTCGTCCATACATAGTTTTGAAGATTTCCTTTAATTCCTGTCTCTGCTGGTTACATCTGCTGGACACAATATGGATGACTGCATCATCATTGGTGCCTGGAAGAAAAAAGGAAAAGCATTTTCCAGAATAGGCTACGTTCCTCAGAAGCTATATATCACTCCATAGGTGTCATTTCCTTGCATGGTTTACTTTAAGAACATCTAATGGAATACCCAGACAAGGAAGAATTTCCATTCTTTTTTTTAATCTCAAAAGCAAACTTTTTGTCATGGATGTGTGAAAGGAAAATTTCCTTGAGCGCAAGGTTACATTTCAAAGTTTAGGTTCTAAAGTTCCGAGCCAAAAATTAAATGAAACCAATTAGAGCCAAGGAAGGCAGCTGACCAACAACCCTGACTAGAGAAACTACTAGACAAGGAATTCCCCATAGCAACTAAAATTCCACTACATGTTATTTCAAAAGTGGAGCAAAAAGTGCGTGCCCTGACAGGACACCATGTTGAAATAAACTGTTCCTACCTCAAGGAAGAAGAATAATTCAGACTTCTTAGTTTTAATCTAGTTCTATAGTAAGATTTTTACAGTACTTGCAACACAATTTGGGATATAAGTACCAAAGATGAAAGGTGATACTGATACAAGAGAGTAATATACCGAATACAAAGAAATTAAAAAGGAGAGATAGGATGATAAGTGTTTGAAAGGAAAGAAGGAGCATAACACACAAGAGCACTCGCTAAACTCTCATGACTAATTCAGACCTTATCTGGATACAAATCTCACACTTTCAAATGTTGGTCAAGTCTATAAGTAGCTGTGCTACTACAGCACATGAAATCAAGTCCATTTCTTGTAAATACACTGAATGCAAAGACTTACCCAAGCCTTTCATTGCATCTCGAAGGTATTCACAATCATACTCTGGGTCCCACGGCTTGCCTCTGATGTTCATGCTCTGCTTCTTTTCTTTCCAGTCCGCCACAGGGTCCCCCTCTACATAGACCTTGAAAGGCTTCACGGTGCCCTCGGTGACCTCAAACGTACCAGAGACACACTGGCGTCGCATCAGCTCCGCAACATATACACGCTTCATTTCCTCTTTGACAGCTGCTTGTATCTGCTGGTCTGACATAGCCTGTTCAAAAAATGAAAGATTGTTTCATCATAAACTGAAGACTAAACAGTGGATACTAAGGTAACATAAATGTATATTATATAGCACATTGATAGAAAATAGTGATGTATGCAAAAATTTCAAAAAAGACAAAAACAATTTAATTTTCATTAGATCTAGGCCTAAATATTTCTATAAGATTCCAAAAGAAATTTGAAAAATTATTTAAAGCTTTTTTTGCCCTGAGTATATGTCAAATTAGTTAAAACAGGACTGGGACCAGCTCACATTGAAAGGGAGGCATCCACTGATTGTAAATGTTTTACAACCCCATAGACACAATAGGGTAAATAATTTAAAAGGTATAGACTGCTTTGACTCTGCTTGTCAGGGTTATCCTGGATAGGCTGCGTGAGATACAGCATCCAAGCAAAAGTAGTAGATACTTAATAAAATATATTCCGCATGCTGGAACCAAATTCATGTCTTATGCACGCAATCGCAAAACCCTGGCAATTAAACACAGGTGCTGGTTAACGGATGAGGCCCGCAGCACTGCTCACAAGCGCCGACTGTCTCCTGTGTTTTTACGCAGAGCGGCTCTCATCAATTGGTCCCTTTCTTTGATCAATTTCCTCTTGTATTTTTTTCTTGACCGCTTACATTTCAACTCTTTTTTCTGGTGTCATTGAATCATCATCATCATCAATGCCTTTCACCCCTGGCAGGGTATAGGCCACATACAAGCTCCTTCCATTTATCTCTGTCCTGAGCCATCCTTCCAAGCTCGTTTCAAGTGAGCTTCATTTCTCTCATGTCCCTTTCCACGCATCTCCACCATGTTTCTCGTGGCCTACCCCTGCCTCGTGCTCCCTGTGGGTTCCACTGCAGTGACTGTCTTGTGATGTTTCCGCTGGGGGTGTCATTGAATGGTATTTTTTATTCTGAACATTTCTATGTGCCACACTTTGGGTTTTATCAAATCTAGATATTTCTTCGTTTAACTTTTTGTGAGACCACCCATGAGGTCACGAAGCCATCACAAATTATTTGCAACATAAGTCAAAATTATCTGCGCGTTGAATCAGTTAAAAAAGATAGAGAGACAGAAGTCATACCAAGCACAAATAAAAGATGATAGAGAAGCCCTAATGAAAGAGTGGCAATAACTGATGAGAATTATTGGTGTGTCATATGAGACTGTTTATTTTTTAAATGATATTGTTCAAGCAGGCAAAAGAGAGCAGTGGCATATTATAGAAACTTACCACATCTGTGGCCTGAACCGGCTTGATTGGATTTTCTGCCTTTTCAATGATCTCCTCCGGTTTCTGACTGTGAATATCCTGCGAAAAATGTACAAACAAGATGTATGTGCTGAATAACAACTGAATCAATGAAAAGCACTTTGGGAAAAAAAAGAGAAAATGTTTTAAACTCAAGTTTTACTTTCACAATAAATTAAACAATAATGTGGATGAAAACTGAACAGCCAATGAAATAATCACCTTTTCAAAAAAAAAGTGCTTCTTTACCACAACAAAAAAGTTTAGTAAAATTACAGATGGACTACACTGCTTGAAAATTTTTCCGCCATAAGCAATGATCTCACAACTTTCGAAAGTAATGTTTGCATTTATGCATTTGGCAAATGAAAGACTATTTAAAAAATAAACTCAATGGATGTACATTGCGATGAATAGAAAGGAACTCTGATACAGAAAATACTACTGGCCCCCTAAAGAGTATTTTATTTTATATTTTAGAAGACATTTTAAAAGACCTCTTCTATTCCTAACAGAAACGAGACTTACAGACAAGCGAAATTACATTCACAGTTTACAAGATTACAAAACACAAAGCAAACCACAACTTTATCAGTTCAAATATTCAAATGCTATTGCAGGTTGCAACAGCACAGTACCCTTTTTTTTAGCTTAGGTTAATGTCTTCACCATACTGACATGCCCCAACAATCATTGACACTTTAAAAAAGTCTCATCCGTGTTGCTTTTTCAGTGTGCATTCATAAACCCCTCAACAACTGACAGTCCCAAAGCTACAAACAGGTATAAGGTAGTACAATTTATTTATCTCCTTCCTCCTCCTTTCTCTTTTTTTCTCTTTCATTCACCGTGGCTCATCATTTTTAGACATTGTCACATCCACACAACACTGTTATATAAGCAGACAAGAACACACATATACAGACTAAATTTATCATATATTCAAACCTTCAGAATAATCAATAAAAACATGACTATTCTCATACTTTTATATGTAGCATACATTTCTGAAGCATCAATTTACATCATTAACTCTTTGAGCCCTTGTCACCGGTACACGTAAAACTGCCCATATGCCTAGCCATCGGTACACTGCTGAGTGAGACTCCATTCCCAACCCGGCCCGCCAAAGACAAAACATGTATGGAAAACAGCATTTAGGGCCTACTATACAAGATGTTATTGATTATTTTTAAAGTCTTCCTGAATAAAATGCTGGTAACGACAAGGACTACCCTGAGTGGAATATGGAAAGAGATTCTGACGATCATATAAATATTAGTAATATTAAATCGATCACTCAGGAGCTCAGGCAGAGGGGCACGATAGCCTCAGGAGGTCAGGGCTCAAAGGGTTAAGATTTAGAACAAATAATTAAGAAGCTTGAACTAACCTGGCCACTGCGGACCATGTCCTCCATTTTCTGCAAATAAACAATGCAAACATTAGATGCAGGCAAAAATAGTTATTGAGTTACATGGACTGAAATGCAGAGTCTGAAAGCTGCTAGATTTGGTTTTGTTCAAAAGTAAACTTCTATTAAATGTAAGAGTTACGTCATCAAATTGAAAGCACTTCCACGTGTCTCTTATGATATCCAAGAGGACCACTCAATTAAGATGATCACTTTCCTCCGGCAATGGGTGGTTATCTTGGACAAGTTCAACTGTGCATTATTTTAGGCCTACATTTTTAAAACTTAAATGATTTAAATTGACAGCTGGGGGTAAAAAAATATAAAAAAGAAACCAATTCATAACAAAATTTAAAAATCAGAAAAAAGAAATAATGGAATGAACAGCATTTGTTGTTAACCTACCTCCATTAATTCCATTTGCCTTTCCATTTGCCTCTCCATCTGCCTGTTCTCCACAGTCTTGAGGTAAGCCGTAGTTGGCATTTCCATGATCTGAGGTGGCTGATCACAGAAAGTACACAAAAGACAAGCTGAACAGTTTTGTTTTAGTAGAGGTTTTACGGCGCTCGCAACTGCATAAGGTCATATGAGTCTCAGAAGATTAGAGGTGTTACAAGAGAGTAACAAACATAAAAAAGAAGAAAGGGAGATAAGGACGATAGATGTTTGTAAGGAAAGAAGAAGCAAACCACACCAGAGCATCCGCCAACCACCCACAGCTAAGCAACATAACCAATCATAAGATAGCACTGCATGGTTCATTGACACAAATACTCATCACCTGTTGTCTTAAGAAACAAAAGTCAACAGAAAAAAACACAGCAATTGCCTTCAACAGATAATTTCATCATTTCCAAATTAGTCAAAATTGTCCCAAGTCCAAAACAGCCATCCATTGTCGATGAGAAAAGAGATTGTTTTCGACAGGTGGACATCTTGGACAGTGCAATTATCTATTAAAAAGGCAAGAGTGGGGGGGGGTGAACAGTGATTATCTTGGACAGGTAGCTGTTAGACGACTATATTATTATAATCTGTACACACTAATATACACATACACTAAAGAGATGGATTTCAGAACACAACTGTAGACAAAACACAACAAGAAAGACCAAAATGGCAAGGAGAGAAAGATGTACAACAACTTTGGAAACAATAACAACAGATTCTGGGAGAATTGCTCCTGACAGGATCCCCATCTAACAGAATGGAAAAAGAAAGAAGAAATGAGTTAAAGTACACAAGTCAGTCATGACAAATAGGCTATATTATATTACCACTGTCCCAGTGAAAATGCTTCAACTCCATTTGACCCTGCTTCATAAGGTGAATGAAGAAGCATAGAGTCGCATATCTTTAAACAGCGAAAGTATGTATGTATTCTCCATCAGATCAGTCTTCACCCACCCTCATCCCTTCTTTTCTCCCTCCTTTTTTTGGCTTTTCCTTTTCCCCTCAAAAGGGTGCACATGCATCTAGTAAGATTTTTAAAACTCATGCAAAGCCAAAAAAAATTTACGAGCAACAGTTCTCACCTGCTGTGGCATCTGCATAGATTGCTGGTGCATCTGCTGGACAGCGGGCATTCCGTAGCCTGGTACATAGCCTGGAGGCTGGTGGTAGCCTCCCACTGGATGCAGGGAGAGTACAATGTGATAAGTACTAACACGTTGTTCTAGGCTGGTATGGTGCACATTCAATAGAACGGTTTGCTTACACCAGTATTTAATTGTATAGAAGAACATTTTTGAATATTAAATTGACTAAATCTTTTACTTTTCACATCAAGAAATCACCCAGAACTAAGCAGAGCAATGAATATGATATCTGCATATTCAAAGACTCCACCATAAAATAGGTTAGATCAAGAAAGTATGGGGAAATTTTACAAATCAGAAATGCAAAATATATGAAGTCTTTTAGGTAAAATGTTCCTTCCTTCTAATATAATTTGAGTCCTTGAAAGATTGCTATAATTAATTAATCATTGCTGTAGCAATAAAGATGAGTAGGCCTATCTCCTAGGATTTTTACCAACCCTGCACAGCAAGATCAAACCGAGTTGCTCATGTTTCTTGAGACAGCAATGAAAAGTTTCCTACTCAAACATAAAACCAGATCCAGAATTAGATTTAAACTTGCTTGACAACACTGCAATTCATTGCTTTACTCACAGAAAAACTTGAAACATCTTTTATCGCACAGTTACTTCCAAAGAAAAAAAACTACAAACAAACATAATGAAGATAATTCCTACTCTGGTATTGGTTGACATTGTAGGCACTGTGTGCATTCATGGCCATGGGTGGCGGAGGAGGGCCAGAGTTGGGATACTGGGGAGGGGGGTATGAGCCTGCTCCAGCGTAATAGGCTGGGTAGTTAGACTGAGGGAAGAAACATCACAGGGGAAAAAAAGTTAGAACACTTTAGATGATGACTTAATAAAACGGACATTATTTTCATTTAAGTTTGTGGTTTAAGATTACTTAATTATTTTTTTTACCCATTTTTTGGATTCAGAGCTCATTTCGTAGGTCAAGCACCCTCAAAATCTCATTATCACCATCTCTCTCTCTCTCTCTCTCTCTCTCTATCTCTCTCTCTCTCTTTATCCCTCTCTCTCTCTCTCCTCTCTCTCTTTCACATTCATACACACACACATATGCACACAAACACACACACACACTAACACACACACACACACACACACACACACACACACACACACACACACACACAAACACACACACACACACACATACACACACATTCTGCTTAGTTTATTCTTAACCTTTCTCCCAGGTTAACATTTATCAAACTCTTTTTCGAGCTCCGCTAAAGGCCATCACAAGACGCATCTTGCAAGACCTCATGAGCATGACACACTTCCGGATAATCTAGATGGGTGGGGGGGTTTTTCTTTTTCAACAATAGCAAGGAAGATGAGATGTGAAAACCTTGTATTACCTGCTCATTTACATGTATAACTGATAAAAGTAAAGTTGAGCCCTCCATTCAGATTTTACGTGACCTACTACACACATCTAGGGTCTCCATTCTCTGTTCAGCAACATGTGGGTTGCCATGACATACTGTGAAAAGAATTCTTTTAACCCCTTCGTGACACCAGGTCAGTTAATTTGTGCTTCACAAGGTACAGTTTTTTATCCCTAGAGACACAGAGAAGCGCTCGATCTAGTGGCTATAATTAGACCTGGTTTGTAAATACTACTATCTATCTCTAAAAGGACAAGATTTCTTTAAATGAAAAAAAAACTTCCTGAATGTGAATCTGCGATTTGTTTTACAAACTGCATATAATATAAACAGTTTGCAGAATACAACCTAGGCTATGACGAACCATTCGTCATCATGGTCCTCGCGCTTTGCAAGGCATGACGAATGGCGTACGTCACAGCAGCATTTTGTCTTGCTTCCCGTGTGAGAAAATATGACGAACAGCGCATATCATATAGGTCACAAAGGGGATAACTTATTTTAAGAGGATATGGAGCTGAAACTAACTTTTCTTCTAAATTCTTCACAAATCTGCATTAGTGATTTTTTTTTTCGGGGGGGGGGGGGGGAATTCCAGTGATACACTTTGATGGTCTAGAGAGGCATCAACAATCAGTTGTGATTCCTAACAGATGCCTAAACTTAACACACAAACACGAATAAACAAGCTTTACAAGTAAATGATAAGTCACAGTGTATCACCTGGTAATACATATCTGTGCCTTAGCTTGAAAGGGGTCAAACCTGTAAAACGAAAGACAAAAGAAAACATAAAGGTACAAAATATCAGATATCAAGGATCTCTTCATAACCAGCCTCAGATTTTTAAAAATAAGGATCAATATATAGTTTGATAGGGGACTCTCGAAATCTAAAGGTTACAGTGTATGCCTCTCGTTCAATAGGTCCCATGTTCGAAACCTGACAGTGACGGAAAATTTTCTTCTCTAAAATGTTCTCCTTTCACCTCCTTTCCTGGCTCTCTAACAATGGTCTGTCATCTGCTTTCATCTCCACTTTCTGCCCCCCCCCCCCTCTCACCGTTGCCCCCTCCTTTAGGCTATTGACTCTTTCTACAGCTTCTCTAGTGCTACTCCTTGGCTCCTTCTTACTGCTGTCTTTCAGCCACAATCCTGATTTTATGGCAGATAAGATCTAACACCTAGTGTTCTCAGATAAGAGCGAAAAATCTCGGAGGTCCCGTGTCCAAGTTGTACATTTTAAAAATCCATACGTGGTCCTGAAATCGATAAGGGTAGGCTTCAGCCGTCACCCATGCAAAGTTCAAAAATCCTAAACTGAAAATGTTTAATGTGTCCAGCTGTAAAACACTAACCAAAACAAACTAATAGTTTGATAGATCATGACAAGGCTTCTCTCAGCATAAACTCATTTGATTTTTATATTGCCTTCAGGATATCCCACGGTATCTCTATAATCAGTTAAACCACACTTAAACTCTTCATTGAAAACTTACTTGAAGTCCATTTTTTGTCATAATTTGAGAAATTAAAAAAAGTTATCCAGCCAACAAATGTCATAACTACCTATTCTTAACTTCGACTGTACTACTCCTTATTCCAACTACTTCAACTAACTATTAAAAACCACAATAAAAAATTTAAGCCACCATCACAAAGAGTGATACTGCAACACTTACTGCTGCTAAAACGTTTTTTTCTTAAAAAGCACAGAGATACAAACAACAACAATTTAAACTCCAATTAAGGAAGGAGTTCCGCAGAGGGCCGGCCGACCAACAACACACAGAAGAGAGGATATTTTGAGCAGGGTATACCTTCCTAACCTTAACCCTAAGTCTTATATAGTTTGCTCAGTGGACCTTGTCAAAGTAAGTGCCGGCCCTCTGCAGAACTCCTCCCCCAAATGTAAAAATGTTGCCTAGCATATAGATGAGCCTACAGTATTAGATATAACAGTTTTCTGAACCATGGATTGACAAGCATAGGGCCTATAAAATAATACAACTAAGCCTACTGTTAAAAAGGTCTCAGTCAATGAAAGAGAAAGGAAGACTTATACAATATATTATTTCTAAACTAATTGAATCATTTTAAACCTTCAATTCTTCCTTAGGTTTAATATAGGCCTTTACCAACCCAACATTCCACTTGAGCAACAGCTGAATGGTTCCCAAAGAAAGGTACATTTGAAACTAATCACAAGAGAAACTAGCCTAGATTAATAATATAATGAATATCACGATATTATATATTATATATATCGCTTTAAATAGTCATGAGCGAGCCACTATAATGTTTATGTATGTATATATATATATGGCTCTTTTCGTCTATGCAGGCGGTCAATTATTAGTTTAGGATGGTCTCAAGGTTGTCTTTATGCAGTTTCTTTAATGGCTAATTCTTTCTATGTTTGAAGCGCAGATTCTGTAGCAGTGCTTGCCTGTCAGTGACGTAGATAGAAGCTCTGTATTTCTGCTATTTTCCTTTCGTCGTTGGCGCTTCTCAGCCTGGTTGTTTCTAAGGCTGCTCTCTAGCATTAGTTATTTCCTTTGTCATTTTCCTCCATCTTTTCCTGTCCTCAGCTATTTCTTCCCAGATGCTAACATATACTCCAAGCTTAGACAAGTTGTTTTTGCAGGTGTCTTTGTACCTCAATTTTGGTCTTCCTCTTGGTCTCTTTCCCTGGGCAAGTTCTCCATAGAGATCTTCGGAATCCGGTTAATGTCATCCATTCTTTTGACATGGCCCAGCCATCTCGATCAATCTTTTTAAACATAAGATAGTTGTCATGCTCTGGAGGTTTGCCCGTGTCGACACTTCTACATTTGTAACCTTGTCACGCCACGAAATGCCTAAGATCTTGCGGCAGCATCTGAGGAGGAAAATTTCGAGGCGCTTTTCTTTCATGTCTGCTGTCCATATGTTTCAGATCCATAAAGGAGTGTGCTGAGGACACATGCTTCGTATATCTTGATCTGTTTTGAAGGTTAATCTTTTGTTTTCCCATGCTCGTTTTGTCAGCCTTCCAAAAGTTGCTGCTGCTTTCCCTATCCTGATGTTGATCTCCTCACGATCAAGTTTATCTATGATGAATAACAAAACAAATGAATTTAACAGTTCAAAACAACACCCTGCCGCGACTCACCTGTTTTTCTTGTTTGTTTGGGGTTTTTTTGGGGGGGTGGTTAACGGAATCAGTAGAGCATGCAAAACAACTTATAGCATAATTATAATAACTACTATTATCTATAGTGCCATAACGTCGGTCGGTATTTCGCGCCCACTGCTTTCTAGAAAGTATAAGACCCTGCTAATGAAAAAAAGATAAGTTTTACCAGAAGTAAGAAAGGACGGGCAGCCGACTTGACTTTGGTATTATGACATCAGAAGATTTCCTTACCGTCTATTTCGCAAGGGTCAGCTTTGCCTACAACTGCAAACGTCACCGAGTGTTGCTTCCACTTCTCTACAATTGTACGCCATGGAGATTGTAAACAAAGTCTACCATATCCCCAGATTTTGTTTGATGTTTTTTCTGAGAGAGGGAAAAAACCGCGAAATCTAAAGGACAAACGTCACATTCGCGTCGTTTGTATTAACAACGTTCGATCTTACCCTTGCAAGAGAAAGAGAAAAATTTAATGTTATAGCAAAAGGATTCTTTTGCATAAACGGCCTAATCCGTTCAGATTTGTATTTTCTCTTTTTTTTTCATTAAAGGGCCTCTTCAACCAACGAGACTGAGGAGTTATTATTTTTTACTTTGGCCCACTTTACTCACTATGAAGAATAATTCGATAAGCTTTCATGAGCAGTATAGTCCATTAATGGTTACACTTTCTTAACTAGGCCTACAATGTTCTTTCCTTTTATAAATCATTTACTACATTCGACACACTAAAATAGATAGGTTAATTAAGCCCCCCCCCCCCAAAAAAAAAACAGCCCCGAATAATAATTTTAATTACAGGCCTCGAGCCGAGCACCGCTGTTCAATCTGGGCATATCCCAAAATAAAATGATTGCTTTCGTTGAAGATCACAATACATAGGCCTAATATAAACTGTTCATAGACTTTACTGTTCCTATATAAACTGTTCATAGACTTTACTGTTCCTATACCCTAAACATATTATATGGGCAACGCATAGACATACTAAATATAAAGATACCAAATACTTGTAAAACTGGTCCTTTGTATAATAATAAGAACCAAATGGATTTATGCCAACTGACGAATGAACACCTAGATATTGCAGAACCATGAAATCCATATTAATTATAGCTTTTTGGGGGTTGTCATTATAAAAATAATCGGGCATGTAGGCCAATATACAATATATATATGAATGATATATACATGTGTGTGTGGGGAGGGGGAGG